TGCCTTTTTAATGAATTATAAATGTTTAAACGAGCAATTAGTATGTAATCACATGATACTATTAGCGTATCAGAAGATTCTTGCATGAAAGATAGAAAAAATATTTCCTTATCGCAATTATCGTTTTCCGTTTCCCCAAGACTATCTTTTCGCTGCTTTATTTCACGTTATATATCTATAATTATATTTTTTTATTGACATCATGAAAACATCAGGAAAGTAGCAGATATTATGTTTTTTATTCATTACCATATTTTCGAAAAACAAAAATATTATTAGGCATAGAATTATAGATATGACATGTATTTTTTTTATAGTCTCAGATATTTGGAAGAAAAGAGGAGAGAGAGAAAAAGTGCAATAGATGTGAAGAGCATTGATTTACACAAAATAATCCTAAAAAGTGCATTGTAAGGCGCGTACGAAAAAACCGCGCGCCTCATCAGCTAGTTAATTGCTTTTTAAGTCGGGTAATATGCTGAGGCTGTACTTCATCCGCGGCTTTTAAACCAATGCCAAGCCGCAGTGGTATCTCCCCATTGCAATATACGCTAGAATTTCATCTTAACCCTTAGTGCGCCACTTCAATGCTTTTCGACATCATAATAACTTTATGGGCCCAGCTATTAAGTTGGCATCTTTATCGCTGAAATAATTCTCTTAATTATTGCAGAATTTCTCACTATTTACTCTCTGATTTCTGACGCCTGAAATGATTCAGCAAACATTAAACACAAAATATGCTTGGGTATGAAATTACATACATATAATAAATTACAGAGTAATTTTTCAAATTATAACATTTATTTGTTAAGTAATTTTTTTGCTGTTTTTAAATTTTAATTGTACACAAAGTGCGTTTTCCTCCCGTTAATTATGTATAATTTTCTTTTTGCGCAACTATGAATTGCAGATATTTTCTTAACACTGGAAATTTTTTTCCGTATAATCACGTTGCCCTTGCGAACGAGCAGTATGCAAATTCTCAGCTAATTTCCTCGCGCGTCTACGCGACGAGCTTATTTCTTACGGCACGTGGCTTGTAATTATCGGGCAGGATATTTGATTTCCTTTACGCTCTCGTGCCATTTCCAGTGTCTTCTCTCCTTACTTTACGTGTTTGCGCGCACTAATGCATCTTGAATGTAAAACACAATTTAAAAAAGTGTCGCGTCATTTTAATCGACCATGTATATCTCGGGCGTGTACCTAATTTTATTACAATACGCGCGTTACATACATATGTTATAATGTTACAATACGTATTTCCTCATACGTGAACGAATGTTTTGCTCGTATCAGGCATTATCGACGCATTGTTGATATCACCCTAAAATGATGGCGCAAAATTTACAATTTAATTCGCGTATTCAATATGATTGCCGATCGAGCACACATAAATAATAAATCCACTCGTGATTTGTGCGTATCATATTTTTTTCAAAAGTTTCGTTCTCGCGCACACGCGAACCATCTGGCTCCTGGCGAGAGCCACAGAGAGATGTCGGGCTGGCTGCATTTTTATTATATCGCGATATCATAGTGCATACGCAGTCGGAGCAAAGCAGAGGCGTATGAACGTGTGCGGAAGGAGGGATGCTGTACGCGTGTATGTGCATGCGTGTATGTGTCTGTGCCGCGTTCCTCGGATTTAATTTCACGCTTCTATTCTGGCCAAAAACGCACATGTACGCACATGTAAGCACTCGCCTGTGTACGTAGAAGAGTACGTCGTGCATATACGTGCAACGAATTGCGCCGGAAAGCGAGAGACCACCGTGCTGGCCGACCGGTTAACCGGGGGAGGAGTGCAATAGGCGTTATTTCCGACCGTTGTTTTTCATGTTCACCACCGTCGGAATATGGCCGGCGAAAAAGGAAAAGAAAAAAGGAATTATATCCTTTTATGTGTATGCGATATATTTATATAATCCAAGGATCATATATAAATCAAATCAATAGAAATTTTCGATTGTCTGTCGTTCAAAGATGAAGCCGAAACTCGCGTTGAAACTTTACGATGTTGCAACGGTTTCGATGCATTGCTGATTCCTTTATTAATATTTGAAGCATTCAATGAGCGGGAAGACATTCGAACTTGATGTGCACATGTATGCGTGTGATCATCGAGTATTGCTCTTTCGCTCGAGATTCCTGCGGAGAATCTCGATTGAATAATGGAAGTTGGTCCGTACAGATTAATACTTGATGCCACGTTTCCAGATGCCAGAGTTTCCCATCAATTAGGAAACACCTCATTAATTCAGAATACCGTTGGGATTGATAATAGTATTGTGTGTGCGGTATAGAAAGTAGATATTCAATATTTCTGCTGATAGAAAAAAATTTATTCTTTGTTATAGACGTACTTTTTGATAGAATACACATCGCTAACCTTGATAAAAACGAGTCTGTTATATCTTTGCCGTTGTGTGTGTGTGTGTGTTATATTTTTTTTATAAAAACACGTGTGTATTTGGAAAAATTTTAATAAAAAAATACTCATCTCCTTATTTTATTTTTTTACAAAGATAATAAATTCTAGGGTTTCACGTGTGCCCTATCTTCCAAAAAAATATGTCTCGCTTGGGAGATTTTTATATATACGAAACACTCTCCTGAGAAGAACTCCGATTTCGCAGCCCTTTGTTTCACGACGAAATAAAAAGAAACGCAACCAATCATGCTACGGGAAACAGATGTGACGTTTCGAGATCAATGCTTGTGAATTTCTTCATCTGACATGTGACAAAACATCTATAAACAGGATTGGTCGTATATTTTATTTTCTTCGTTCTAGTTTACCTGTTTCCTATTCAACATTTATTACACTCAAACTTAAAACTTGTGTATATCAAAAGTATATATCTCGGATCGATATTTCATTCCGCATTAATGCTTAGAAAGCTTCTTCTGTCTTGAGAGACGTATTATCAACTATTTATAGTAATCTCATCAAAACTTTTCGCTTCAGAATTGAAGAAAAACTAAAATTGATTACATTTTTTAAAAACATCAAATTTGATACTTATAAATATGTTTAAAATTTAAATCAGATTTTAGATAGCCGAAGAAAATTGGAGATTTAAAGGAGAACCTGAAAAACAAAGAGAGGCTAAGATTTTTTAGTTGGACGGAGGAAGAAAGATGAGTTCGTTCGAACGAATAATCAGAAGGAAGTTCTCGTAATCATTTTGCGCCAATCGAGTAGTTTCCTTGTGCAATCTCGGTGCTCGTACATTTACGTGGCTTCTCCCTTTAAATCCGCGCACGTGATGCATTCGACTAACGACTCTCTCGGGGAGCTAAAACGTGTCTCTTGAATTAAGCACCCGACACCGGGTAGATCTAGAAGGGACCTCGAAGGAATTATTTCTGTGCAATAAACGAATCGACTCCATATGGAGCGAAATTTGCGAGAAAAGTTACTTTGGTGCGTAAGGTCGGAAAATATTACAGAGTTGAATGTGTGCTGGAGGGAATTAGGGAGACCTTAGTACGGATGTTTTCACATATATCTGAATAAGAGCGGGGTTGCCACAGCGATAAATTTTATTTACTGCTTTTGTTTAGCGAAATAAATAACTGGGGTTGCTTAAAGAAGAAGAAAGCAACTATACGTATTTTTAATATCACTCGTGTGAAAGATTTAGAAAGTTGCCATCTTATGATATTTTAAACATCTATATTCATAATGAAATAAAAGCAGGAAAAGTACGTGTTTCTCAATTTGCAAATACTTGTATTTGCATTAGATGTTCTTGATGTACTTAATTATTATGAACATTTATGCGTTTAAAACACTATCAGTTTGATAACGTGTGACATTGAAGAAACAATAGCTATTCTATTTTCGTTTCTCGCAGGTAAACGCATAATAGTTGTCGTTGTTCAATTTTCGTGCTTTTGTGTTCGCGTCAAGCATTTGTTTCGCGCCGAGTTTCATTCCGAGCGAACTATCTCATCATTACACGTCAGCGAGTCAAAGAATGGAGCATTTCGATCGAGAGGACGATGGAATAGAAAAGCGGGGGAAGGTATTACCAAAGTTCGACGAGTTCCCCCGTCCACCCATTAGCGTGTCAGTCATTCCGGCCGTGTAATTAAATTCTGTGCGCCAATGTCGCCTCGCGAATCCCTCGTCCTTCGTGAGTCTTTTCCGAAGTTACCGTATCTGCCCTCTCGGCTGATTCCTCGAAATTATCCTGGCGTACTTTGTGTGTGAACGATATCAATATTTTCCCTGGGAAAAATGTCGGGTCAGCTCCTGAGAAAGACGGGCAAAAAAAGAGAGACGTGGGGCGCGGGTTGCGCGAGGGTGATATTCTTTTGGAAGGCCTTCTTGACATCGGTTCTATTCGCTCCCACCGTTTCTCCGCGTTTCTTACCGCTCCGCAGTCTCATTTTCAATTTATCCCGGGCGCCTTTTATCGCATTTTTCGTTTCTCCAACCTCCATACAGTCCGACGACGAATAGACTCGCGCGAATACACCGGATGAAACGAAAGTTTGTATCGCCGCGGGGTCGCTCACTTAGGGGAGGCTTGAAGGACTGATTAATGGACTTTTTACCGAGGGCGGATGTATAACCGGTGAGAAAAAAATTAGTCGAGAGGAGGTTAGGGCAGGGGGGAAAGCTGTAATACGGTCGATTAATTGGAGTTGTTGGACACCGTAATCGTCTGACCGTTGTTGTTTAATCGCTTCGAGATGACTTGCGCACGAGTATCATCCCTTTTTACAATGTTTTCTCGAACGATTGATCGTTGTCAATATTGATTTGTAACGTTATTAATAATTTTGGTTGAAAAAGTTTGGTTGAAAAAGAGAGATATTTTCCAATACATAAATTCTTTTACATAAATTATTATTTCAAATTTAAATTGACTGAAAAATTTCATGTACGTTTGTGTGTACGTGTATTTATTATAGGAATATCTCACTTATATTTATTGTCCTTTGTGTATTTTCTAACTCTTTCTTTATTCTGACTGTTGCAGAGCGATACCATGGGATTCGTGGTATTCCCCGATGCTGCGCGAGAAGGGTCGCCGACGCAAAGAGATAAACTCTGAAAATTGTTTCGTGTAGGAAGAGAGAGCGTTGCGTCTGTACATCGTTTCTAATTGACAGATAGAGGAAGGAAAGCCAACGGCAAATAATTAGAAGCGGGAATGAGAAGAGGGTCGGAGGGTGGAAGACAACGAAACATTCGAAATTTACGAGTGAGTCGGTTTGCTCGCACGTCGTAGGATTCAAGGTGGCGTCTAAGGACGGTCGTATACTATAACAAATGGTCTAGCCGTGAGCTAGCTCGCCGTGCAACGACACCGGAAATAGGCGATATCTATCCAGCGAGTGAATAGAAAGATCCGCGAAAACTCATAAGAACACACGATGTGAAGTTTCAAACACGACCCTGCTTGTCTTCCGCGGAGCAAATTGTGCACAAAGAGATCGTCGACGATGAGACGCCGCGCGTTTTGCGACGATTGTCCTGCAAGAGAACGCTTCGCCATTTTTTAAACTCGCGATTTAAATTCCAAGAATGATGAGGCGTTGCGCAACTCGACATTGAGATTTCGAAAAGGATAAGATCCATGGTAATCCGGCCAGATGGGTTAAAGACGACCCCGATCGACGGCGCGATCTCGTGCTGCTTGCAAAATGGCGATCGTAGAGCATTTTCGAAAGTGCAACAAGTGGTGTACGAATCTTCGATGTTGAGACGTCATCGATGTTACCCGATAGACGGACGACGGGATTTGATCCGGGACCGATCGCGACCGGTTGGATCGAAGCTCTCGGACAGAAGGACGGTTTCTTAGAGATGTGCGCGATGGACCGGCGAGATTAAGCGCATCTAATGAACTCTGAATCCGTTTCTCTCTCGTCTCCAGTACGATCGTCTCGAAATTTCTTCATCAAGGTTCTCTTTGCTGGACTAAGTAGATTTACCTTGACCAACGAATCGAGAGTCGAAAAGCTTCGATCGGATGCTGTTGCTTAACCTCGTCAAAGTACTTCATTGATCGAGAGATCGAGAGATAGACGAAGACTAGCTGGGATTTTAACTTGATTCCACTGAATTCTCTCGAACTCGAATACGTATATTAACGCCGTCAATGTGTGTGTGTTGTGAGATATTTATCAATTAAAGAAGAAGAAGCATTGATGCTGGAGGGAAGATTAGAAACGCGAGTCCATGGAGACAAAGACGCTCGATATTGAACGGACGAAAGAGACACTCGCTGGGAATTACCAACAATTCTTGAAACTGCTACGAAGTCTCCTGTCGGCGGATCTACTGAATAACGTCGTAACGGCATTCATGCGTCATGGGCAAACACGTTCACTGACACGCTCAAGGACGAGCATCTTGCGATAATCCACGTCAAGGCGTTGTCGCATTCGCAGAGAGCATCGTCGAGTGAGACGATAGTGATGAGGATAACCGCGAACGAAGCTGGCGTTCCTCTACTAGGCGCCGTTGGTCCGCGCTATGTCGTCAAGCAGGCGACGGTGAAGCGCTGTGTCCTGGCGCTACTTCTCATCTCCGTCGCCAGCATATTCTACTACACTCACTACATCATCAGCAGTGGATCACTATCTAGGTAAGTGCAAACAATGAGCAATTCTGACATCAGAAAAAAATAATTGCTTAACGTTAACACTTTGTGTCTCATAATTAAAAAATCTTTTCGAATCATTTTAAATCCATATTTTAGAAAATTAATATTACGTTAATAGATATATTTCCCATATATTTCCATATGTTTTTGTGTAATACAATTTTTTATTTTTTTTTAACGTATTTAAAATGATTTCGAAAGGTCTCTATTTTTTTTAATGTTAATTTTGAAAAAGTCTACTGGAAAACGTCGATGGGAGCAACAGTGTTTGCGAGCATTGTAATCCAAACAATAGTTGATACAAGGTTTTTATACGCGGCATCTGTTGCAGACGAAAGTTTTACAAGCTTTTTCCCCTCAAATTCGATATGTTCATAGAAAAACACTTGTACAGCTTTTTGCAGGATTATGAATTTTGGAAATTCGACCTTTTGGCCAAATCTTCAAAAATAAAATATTACAGCGTGACATAAAAAAAAACACAATATTGCATTATTGTGTGATATTAATAAAATTACTAATATTTTACCGAATTTATCATAAATCGTTTGAAAAAATGCGTGTAGTTTAATAATAGTACTTGCGTTTAATAATAGCGTGCAAATGCAACGATTCTTCAATGAAAACTTCATCATGTAAATGGGCTTAATTTGGAACGGTATTGAGCGGCGCGAGATGAGGTGAGTCGTTTGGCGCGAAATAAAGTAGAATGGTGACACTTTTAATTACTTTGTATGTGTAATCAAGCGAAGCAAAGCAGGCCAATTAGAGCCGCGAGTTGGCCGACCGTCGCGGCCGCCAGTAACTCTGAAATTGCGTGGTCGCGTGCAACGTCGTTGCTAATGGTAGGGCATCTTCCGCAAGAAATCTCGAGCACTTGCGCGTCGCAGACAATTTCCCTTGACGTCTTTTTTCCGCGCGGCAACGATGCAGAAAAGTGGAAACGTGAAATCAATACAAACGAGTGCAGTTAACAATTATCCTGCGGGAATTGCTTTATAATAGAATCACGTTATGGAAGAAATATCGTGAAATAAATGATTTTCATTGATCTTCGGCGACAGAAAGCCCTTGTTTAGAGCGAAAAAGAAATATTGTCGATAAGCATCTCGTTGAAAAAGAGAAATAGGAATCTAGAGATGATATCGTAGGAATAATTAAAGAAAATACACAACGAAAATGAATACTTTATGCTCTCGATAATAATCAGCCGAGATAATTGCGAGGCAATTTTTATCAAATCTACAGTCACGACAAGTTTCAGATAATAAACAAATAGAAAAAGATACATATATACAGTTTATCATCGTTTCGCGTGAAGATAATAAATGGATAACATTATATATCCGCAAAAATTCCGTGAAAAATAATTTTTATATTGATATAGAAATATTGGTAGTATCAAAAGACATTAATCTAACTTAGCAACGTTTTTTCATGCCCCGGAGTAATAAAATATTTTTGTCACGCAGCTAACACACCGTCCATTATATATAAATACATATAGTTCTCTGTTATCAAGAAAATCATATACAAGAAAATTACACACTAATTTCGTCTCACGATCGAAAAAGATACAAGAATTTTCTTTTTAACCGGAAGACGACGTTAAAATTTTCCCCGATGTTTTTTTTTTAAATTTAATTTAGAAAATTATTAAAAATGTCAGACTTACGAATATAAAATTAAATATATAAATAAATTGAAAGGAATTAGGCTCTATATGTATTTAAACAACACAATAAGAAACTTAGCGAATAAGAGCCACCGCGGATGGTAATGCGTAAATTTTTAATTATTCGCGAAAACTTAAACGTGCACGAGGTTTTAACGCGCATAGGTTTTACTTGGTGTATTTACCAAGATATAGATTGTCATTTTTGAGAATTCTATAAACCCCCTTTACCCTGAAGAGATGTAGACGAGAAAAATTGCTAAGGCTTCTTAAGGCTCTTATTCGCTAAGTTTCTTATCGTGTTGTTTAAATACATATAGAGCCTAATTCCTTTCAATTTATTTAATTCACGCGGAGCTGAAAAGATCGCGTTTCATTATTTCCATAGTTATAAATAAATAGACGAGAGGGATATCGGTGGGGCTGAATAGCTCAGTGGTAAGAGCAGTCGTCTGGCAAGCAAAAGTCTTGGGTTCGATTCCCGATTCAGCGACTTCGCCCCGATATTTTTCTCGTCTACATTTCTTCAGGGGTGTAAAGGGAGTTTATAGAATTCTCAAAAATGAGAATCTATATCTTGATAAATACACCAAGTAAAACATATGCCTCGTGCACGTTTGAATTTTCGCGAACAATTAAAAATGTACGCATTACCATCCGTGGTGACTTTTATTCGCTAAGGTTCTTATCATGTTGTTTAAATATATAAATTGGTACAAATGGCAATATGAGTCTAGTATCGATATTGTTACACCGTTATTTATTATATAAAGAAACAATCATATAAAAACATTCATTTAATAAATATACATATGAGTGGATTGTGACCGTTTCGAATTTAATCCTATACACTTAACTCCAATTATGTAACAATTACTGTATTATTATTATTTATTCCGTTTATATTTGCGCTGAAGATGACCCAAAAATAGGATCGAAACGTTCGCAATCCATTCATATGTATATTTATTAAATGAATGTTTTTATATGATTGTTTCTTTATATAATAAATAATGGTGTAACAATATCGACACTAAGACTCATATTGCCATTTGTACCAATTTATATATTTAATTTTTTAATTTCGAAATGTAATTTAAAATGACTTTCGCTTGCACACGAGCAACGCGTAACGATGAATTTTAGTAAATGAATATCTTTTGCCGCTGTAAACTAACCGAATATTCTAGAACTCGTATGCAGAAAGCTCAAGTAACTCGTGCAAGAACGAAGTAGTTTGTGGACTCAGCAAATTGACAGATGCCTTTGGTCTTAGAGACGATCCAATTTAAATCAGATACGAGTGCAAATATATGTATGTGCATACAAGTATACATATGCATGAGAAGGAGCGGACGTTCCTGCAATATAACTGGCCCAATTCCAGTTTTCTTCGATATTCTGCAATTCTCCACGATGCCTGTCGGGCAGGGAAGTAAATTTGCAGTTAATTAGAGGAGACGAGTAACTCCACGAATGAACCAAGATCTTCATTTCATTTCTACGACACATTCAATCTTCACGATAGGAAAACGAGATGCAAATATTGCATCTTTGATATTTGTGAATTTGAGATATATTCTAATAATGATTATAATACGTGTGTGTGCGAGCAAGCGCGCTTCCGAAATATGGCAACTCCAATTAAACGTATTGCGTGTGCGACAGGCGCTCATATTTCCAAAGGTGCGGAAATTATATCGTGTGACCGATGTTTTAGTCATTACGTACACGCCAAGTTCTTTCCGCGCGGGAATCGAAGTAATTAAAGTATAATTTCCCCCGCGCTACGCGGCCGATCTCCTTGTCGAATAAGAGCTTAACAAGTTTTCTTGGGCAAGTGGCCGACAAGGTTCTGTTTTTCGAAAACCGTACATCGCTTGCGTCAGCGGGAAAAGTTTGGGATATATTTTTCACGACGTGACAGTATGTTGCCAAGTGTTGCAAACAACTTCAAGAATGTAAACCGCATGTTTACACGAACGCGAAGCACTCCCCTGACGGCGTATTATAATTTGCTTTGCCACAATACTAACATATATTTGCTGCTATAAAATATTCGTTGTAATCCTGCAACGTGCTTTACATGGGAGATCAGAAACGAGAAAGGGAGGGAAGTAGAGATATGATGTGTTATTACGGTACTACATTTCAGGGACTAAGGCATGATCGCATAAATCCTCGCGTATATGCTCTATCGAGTTAAATGATAATGCCGTGATCTTATGCGGATCAATCTTAGCAGATAACTTGTGGCATGATAGAATTCTGTAACTGATCGTAGTATGTACGCGAGTATCCGCCTCTGTCGTCAATCATGAAGGCTAATACAAACCGACACGGACATTGACATGTAATTTCACATCTATGCTGGCAGCTTCGTAACTATCTATATAATCCAGGACTGGTCAATCTTATTGGCGACGGATCTCCGAAACTATATTGCGAGACATTGCATCCCGATATTTATAATTGCACTGCCAATCTAGACAAGACAAGACAGACTGCATGCGATTTAATTGAAACCCGGTCCAACCGACAACGAACTACCCTGATTGATCATCTAGATAAATTCAACTATATTCTATCTGTCCACGTTAAATATCATTCAAATTGTTTTATCATTTCAAATCTTCCTGTATGCACTGTAGAGCTTTGATAAAATCTTAAGCAAATCTTAATTTGAAGGAAATGATAATTAAAGTCTTTATGTCAAATAAAAATTATTATTGTACTTCATATATTTATACACATTACAAAAGTATTGTCTATTATTTATATAAAATTATACGCATGTTATTATAATAAGTGATATCTCTCGATGGATATTTTGCAAGAACATATTACAACGAATATTTTAGCGACGTTCTCTCAAAGACTGACGTTGTTCCTTCCGCAGTAAAATGCATTATCACGATGGCAGTAACAAATTAACGGAATCCACGGCGATGCACAACGTGGCAATTTTAGATCGCTCGTAGAATTCTACCTCGTTGCACCGCGATAGTGTCAGCTGTCGCGTCGTCTACAGCTATGCATCGTTGTGTTTTTGTGCGCGGGCGCGTTATCACGCGATAAATCGTTGTTTTACATTTTGGACAGTGACGCGTAAACGCTATTTAAAGTAGGATGCTGAGACACAAAAAGGCAGGAGCAGGAAATTTATCGTTAACGGTGTCGCGACTCTTTCCTTTTTTTTTTTTCAGCAATGCCCGTGTCTTTCTCTCGCGAACCATAAAATAATATCTCGGACTTCCGGCGACTGTACAGCTGACAAAAAAAAGTACGTTTCATCTCTATTGAATAA